GAATGTCAAAAATATACATTTTTCATACACTCTGGCAGGTTCACCTTGGCTGTGGCATTTGAATGCTATTACATTTCTTCAGGAAGAATATATACCGGGTATCCCAGAAATAAGTGCAAATATTTTAAGGGGTGGTAGATCTGGCCAAAAAAAAACATATTTTCCCTTTACCATTTTTAAAATAAATTGAAAATAACCGAGTTATTTAACTTTGAAAATTTAAAAAAATAATAGCAACATTTTGAAAACCGCCGGTAGATATCGCCAACTACGTCCAATTACCAGGATCAAGCCCGGATCTCAGGTAATTCGACGCCCTGTGTTGCCATATGAACAAGAAAGTATATGCTCAAAAAAAAGTCATAAAATCAGACCACCTAAGGAGTTTGGCAGAGATTGCAGAGATGAATTACATTTTTAAGATTGTGATATTATTACAGAAAATAAATAAAAAAAACTTACCCAACATTAAAAAAAGATACTTATGACAGATCGATGTAACTGTGACAGTTCTCTTTTTTGATACACACTTAACTAAAATACACTTCACTGTGCTGCTGTACTTGTACATGCTATTATAATAACTGCTAAAATAACAGTCCCCATTTCTAACACATTCTTTTCATATATAGGCTTCATCACAATTTGAACCACTGATTTATAAAACACCTTGAAAAGCGCACATTACTTTGAATACCTTTCGAATGAATAAATGTTGAGAATTATTGTCTCTTATCGCCACTTTACGAACAATATACTTTCGATCTAAGAAAATACAGGGTGGTCCGAACTGTATTCCGGAAACTTCGGCAGCATATTCTGCAGATAAAAATAAGTAAAAAGTTCGTATAAATGTATGTCCTAAATGCTTAGTTTCGGAGATACAGGGTGTGAAATCTTCATTTTTATTTCGATTTTTTCAAATAATTTCTGAGGTAACGTCAATATTTGGATGAAAATTGGTGTCCGAGTTTATTGACATGAGAAATTTGATTTTGATGTCTAAATCTGATTGACTCCTATTTGTAGGGGGCACAACCTACATGTGTTTTAACTGTTTTGAAGAGTAATAACTTTTCGTCTGTACCTTTATAAAACTACTGAGTAAAAAATATACATTGCCGTGATTTTTTACGTAAAAAAGGTCTATTGGTAAAAATCGCTACGAGCAACCGTTCTCAAGATATGTAGAATGGAATTAGTCAATACATGTCATTATTGACAAAAAATACACATACACATATTGAGCAGATAGTCATTCGACTGAAATGATAAATTTGAAAAAATAAAACAGTTTGTTTTTTACCTTTGGCACAAAAACATTTCAAATTTATGATTTTAATCTAATAACTATTCAGCCAACATGTTTAATTTATGTCAATGATGACAGGTATTGATAATTTCGATTTCAAATATCTCGAGAACCATTACTCGTATCGATTCGAATATTTTTGCTCACCTTTGTAAAAAGGTAGACGAATTTGACGCGAACTCTGCGGTTGACGGAGAAAACATATCTATGCTTGGCTTGAATTGGGGACGAACTGAAAGCCAAGTCTGAGATCTAAAAGCTAAGTCTAAATTGTTGTTTAAAATGTTGCTAAAATGAATTTGCTAAAAAATTACTGAGGCAGCAGAGAAGAGTTAAATAAAGTTTAAACTAGATTAGATAATAAAATATTAATATGTCTCGTAAATCCAAATGTTCTTATTATGGACTGTAACATAGCATTAGATCAGAACACATTTATATCCACTGCCTAGGTATTGCCTAAGGTTTTTTCGTTTGATTCATGGCATTATCATACAAGATGCCAAATGTAGAAAAGTATAGAGGAAAAGTTTCGTGATAAGAACTATACAATAACCTAAAAAATGCTGCAGTTTTAATGGTGATCGCGGTTCATTCAGTTAAAAACACGTGTACGCGAGGAGGTTGCTGCTGTAGCAGAAAAGAGAGAATTTCTTTTTACAATGTGTAAGAAAATATATACCCGAAAAGCTAAAAATAATGTATTTCACAGAGGATTGGGTCAGCTGAACTGAATGAATCAGGAAGTATTAAAGTTTCTCAAAATCGTGACTCAAAGTCGTAGCCTATGCAAGATCAAATTACCGTTATCGATAATGGAAATAAAGCAGTAGAACCCTGTAAAACTGAGCCATTTTGTAGTAAAAATTCAGATGTCCGACCCAATATTGGTCTTTACGAAAATTTTGATCATTACGATTTTTTTTAAACCGGAGACAAAAGAGCTTTTTCGCACGAACGAAAAACACCCTTACTTATATATTAATAAATAAAATATATGTTTCTTCGTTATGGTCATTTTGTTTTTGTGGATTTGGGCCGGTTGCCTGTTTTTCCCGGGCCGGTTTCCACTTCCCCATCCACCCCTGCAAGTGATGCAAAACAATAGATCTGGCCATGTCATATTGTGACACTTTGTTCAAAAAGCAGTATGTTATCAATCCTGATTTCCCAATTGAAGCTAACTTTGCGCTGTTTTCTTTTCGATTATACGGTATATTATTAATAATATCAACTATTAGATATCACTTAAGAGCGAAAATCCGAGATATATTTTATTAAATACACTTTTTAAACTCTTAAGCGGGCAGTATTGTATAAATTCAAATAATTAGTTTTCTGATAGATGGAAATAAGTTGTCTGACTGTTTGACACTTAGTATCAAAGGAATCTAGATAAAATCAAGAAATATATACGTTTTCAAACTAAATCTTAAATAACTTAAAAACGATTTAATTTAGGTATAGGAACATGTATACTTAAAAAGTAACGAATTGGAAAACCTTTTCACTAGTGAAATAAAAAAGTGGGTTTCCACTTGAAAAAAATTATTTATGATAATTTTTTAATCGCTCAATTCCATGACAGCTACCGTCGCGTCGTTACTATATGACATTCGAACAATTTAATTTTTGAAATAGATGGACACATGTCTCCTCTTTATGTCACAGTGGCTGTAGTAATCAATAAATTTGACTTTTAAGCTATAAATTTTTTTTTGATAGGTAGTTTTTTTGTCCAAAAATTTTAAATATTGTTTTCTTAAAAACGATCAATGTTAGGTATAGAGTGTTTAACATCCATATCCATAGAATTTTACGGAGAATTAAGTATGTAAGAAAAAATGGGGGCACCCATTTAAAATAAGAAAGCTACAGTCAACTTCAAACAAATATTGTGAAACAATGGTGTGCAAAAAATCTCCGATCTAGATATTGTAGTTCTCTAGAAACTTCTGATGCACGCTCAGCCTAGGACACCCTGTATACGTATTATATACAATCGCTTTAAACCAAAACTATGTAATTATAGTTTCCAATAGACTTATTTAATATTAAGATTTCATAATTTTATTTCAAAATTAAGTTAAAAATTGCTGGCTCTAATCTGGATAATACAAATTTTAAATGAAAACTTGTATAATTTAATCAAACTAAAATTGTTAACTTAAAATAAAGACATTTCTTGAGAAAATTGAAAACTGCGTGAAGACAATGTTTTTTTTTTGTGTGGAAATTATTTATGTATTAGCAGTTCAAAGTTGTACTTTCGTCTAGAATTTCGTTTTATTTGAAATAGGCATCTAAAAGTTATTTGTAAAAATCTACCTAAATTACCTGCCTCCAAATTACTAAAAATATTTAATACGGCCCAGAGAAAGCTACAATAAAAATACCAGCAAATATACTTGTTTGCTGTACATTACTCTCATGTCATTACTACTCATACCCAATACCACATACATCCACAATAATTGAGGCGCTTAGAATAAAAGAGATACATGTGCAGGGGCGGATACAGAAATTTATTTTAGGGAGGGCCGAAATAAAAAATAATGCAAAATGTGCCTAATATTTAACCCAATTTACAGATTTTAGGGGGGGGGGGCATGGGCCCCCCTCTGTATCCGCCACTGTACAAGTGACTTTTTTCTAAATGCAGATTTGGATAATTTAGGTACCAATTTGTTTGGTATAAAATGAAATTAAGTAAATTCTACAGTGGCACTAAGTAGAGTAGAGTGTAGAATTTACTTAATTTCCTTTTATACTAAATAAATTGCTATCTAAAGTGTCAAAATCTGTACTAAATGTCCATTTAGAACAAAAAGTCACTCGTACCCCTTTTATTCTAAGCTCCTCAATTTAACAAATAAAAGAAATATTTGTAATTAAAGGAACTTTTTTTAAAATATACTAATTAATAAAACATAATTCCTGATTCATAGCCAAACAATACCCCAAATGATTGTAAAATTCACGCCTCACAATACAAAGCTGTTAATGGGAGAATCTTTAGCATTTCACAGAGATGTCATTTTCAGTTCATCTAAATTTCTGTATCTGCTATGCTCATAAAGACGGTTTATGAGTGTGCTCTACAGGAAAAAGTCGTTCGGCAAAAGATCCTGTAGTCTTTTCCTAATCGTATATACCCTTAATATCTCCAATAGACGGGAGTCAATGTGTTTCTTTTCTTCAACATGAAGAATATTCAAATCATTGTTGTTTCCTTTCTGCTTAATTATTTTTGTCTTCACACTTCCATGTGCTTAATGCCGTGCCTTTAGTTTCAAACCTCTGGTTTGTTCTTTAAACTGTTGACTTATTCAGTATAAGCTTTCCGGAGACTGAACTGCGAACATATATCTAATTCAGTGAGAATACTATTTCCAGCAAAATGTCGTTTAACCATCGTAACTTTTTCTAAAGTTGCGAAAATCATAATTGTTTTATACAAAATTACTCTATTTGATACCTTTAAATTTTGTAAACAAAATGTGACATCGAATTCTTTGGGCCGTATTATTAATTTTACTAAATTGGAGGTAGATTTTTGCCAATATTATAATACATTACCAATTATATTTTGGGCTAGACAAAAAAATAATTTTATACACCATCGATAGTTGCGCCTCGATGGCACGAAAGTATCTACTTACTAATTATTAGCAGTTGTTTAACTTACCGCAACAAGAATCCGAATACAGTGTACAATTAGCATAGTCACAATCACCACTGGAGAAAATTTCCGAGGAGGAATTTGTTTTTCCTACTCCCTAATTTTTTTCTTTCTCTCTCCTTGTCATGCCGCAAGGTGGCCACACCGCTGAAAACTCTTTGTCCATTTTTTTCCTGCAACGCTCAGGCATAAAATTACGGCTCAGGTATCTGCAAGATAAAAATAAATTTTTAAAAAGTAGTTATTATTTGAGCCCCATTATACATTAAAATTATTATATCTATATGTATAAATTGATATGGAAATTATTAAAGTTTGGAAACCTGTTCACCTAAGTAGATGAAATCGTTTCCTTCCTTTATAGGAAATCATATTTAGTTTCCAAATGATTAAATATTTGCTCTTTAGTATTGCAAATATTAGATATACATATTAGCAAATTAGCAATACTATTTAGAATATAGAAACAGAAAATAATCACTGATTATACAGTTGCTATATTTTATAATTTTAGTCTCCTTCATTAAATAAGTTGAAATGCAGAGAACAATACTTAATCGGTTTGGAAGGAATACTGATATAACCGAAACATTTGTATTCTTGCTAGATACTCAATTTTTCATTAATTCTTATACTGCAGACCCTGTATTCATACAACATTAATATTAAATAGTATACAATAATTAACAGAACAAATATAAATTAAGATTACTGACCACTTATTTATAACGTATATTCATCTTCGTTAACAGTTAGGAAAATAATACAAATGACATTAGATGGATTTAGCGTAATGTTGCATTGGGATACCGCGTTCTACTGAACTTTATAAGAAAATTTACTATTTAATTTAAGATTATCCGCCCACGCCCGAGTAATTTTATTGGTTGGTGATAGCCCACTTGTTGATTGAGATATTTTCATTGGCTCGAAAACATTTTTAATTAAGAAATAAACTAAAATTATAGTTTTATTCTTAAAATCCATTGAGATTAATAGTTTCTCGTTTATATTAAAATTTTAGAGGACGTTAAGAAACTTGATTTGAAGATATTTTAATGTATATAAGGTTCTTCAAAAAATGCCTCTCTTAAAATATGTTTTTCCATAATATTCTACCCTATTTTTTATTTTTATATTCCGCGTAAAATTCTATATTTCTATACCGGGTGCGTCTCAAAAGTGTTTTTTCAGAAAACAATACAAGATTTGGTATGTTAGTATATGATATAAATTAGGATTGATTGGCGTATTCAATTCTTTTTGGCCACTTCCTGTTTCACCGGAAATTACTACAACTTTTGATTTTTAAATTACACTCTCGGTATTTTTTTACTTTATTCGAGAGAATATGACACCAGAGTGTGTATTACACCGGAGTAGTATATTTTATTCAGAAATAGAATGACATATCATATGTGAACTCCCGAAATTGTAACAAGCGGTTCATAATGCTTTTTCCAAATATGTTAATAAACCACCCTTGTTACATTTGAAAAAATTGAAATAGGATTAAAAATACGATTTGGGTATCTTTTAACCGGCCAGGACAAGACACGAAAAACATTAGATGGTCAAATCTATTTTTTCAAGGCTCCTTGATTAAAAATTAGTATTTTTAACACAGCCGATTGAAATTTAAAATACGATTTGTTTATAAGCGAAAATGTCAAAGGTTGACGTATGATATGTCATTTTATGCAGAGTGTCATTTTCTATCGAATGAAGTAAAAATATATAGAGGGTGCCATTTAATGATATAATAATCAAAGGTTGTAGTCATTTTCGGTGAAACAGGAAGTTACCAAAACCAACTGAATAGGTACGTCAATCAATCCTAAATTATGTCATATACTAACATACCAAATCTCGTTTTTTTAATTAAAAAAATTGGCGCCGGGAGGCACGTATAGCCGCCCATACTAAAATATTTTAATAAAAAGTTGGTAGGCAGTTCTGTTAGTTTCAAAGTTAAGGATTTTTTTCAATTTTGGTCCGCGGTTATTTCCCCTATCCGTCACCTGGGGTCGCGTCTGATGGGAGTTTGGAGTTCTCCACACGGATTTTCTCAAAAACGGACTACGGAAACACGGAATATCTCAAAAACTGCGACTTTGACTGATTTTGATGTTATTACAAATTTTGTTGCAAATATTATTCCTAATCTTAAATTGAAAACCGCGTTTTGCTAGCTACTGTAATTTTGGAGTTATGATTTTTTAAAATTTTTAACCCCCTCCCATACCCCCTTACCAAACTCTCCCCCCCCCATAAGTACATTGGCACAATTGAATCTACACAATTGCCTCTATAAAAAGAGGGCATCAAACTTTAAAAATATAAACACACTTAACGATAGTTTCATCTTTTTTTTAATTTTTTCTACAACAGTAAGGAAATTTGGAAAAGAATAAATCTAACTTATTTTAAATTCAACCCTATGAATATTATTTAATAAATCCAAACCCAGATAAAATTGCTTTTGAACGACATATCATGTTCCTATGCCGAAACCCTCTGGTTTCTTCAGTAAAGCCATTTAAAAAATAATAATTCTATTACAATTGTTATGTTTAAAGAAAATACTTGCCATGACAAATATTCAAACTTTATAGGTATCAATAATTAGAGTTTACGTGCTAAATTTTTTAAATTGTCATAGTAACGAAATCCTTGAAATGAAACTATACAACAACAAACAATTTTACACATGTTTTATTTTTTATCGTAAAAACTCTTACCCCCGGTGTTTTCAGGTATAGATAGCGCGTTATAATCCGCCAGATATATTTTATTTGATGGATAGCAGAAAAAAGTGTATCTTCTTCACCTATAGATACCAATATCTATTAGATAAAATAACCTTATCCGTCAGATATCCTATTTGGGACCTGAACTGCCAAATATCGCTTTATTTGTCGGATAAAAATTTGACACATGAGGAGATTTTGATTTAATTTAATAAAATTGCTTAACATAACCTAAGACATTGTTACTATTATAGATTTCGTTTATTTCAATAAATTCGATTTTAGAGTATTTCGAAAAGACTTACCTATTCTGAGTATGTAGACTATAACCATTTTAGAACGTATGAGGTATAAACACTAGTAAACACATTGAAATGGTGCAAAAAACTATTTTGTTGCTGGTGCCGCACTTTATAAGGAGTGTTACAAAATAAAAGGAGCCTCTGTTAGAGCATCAGAACGAAGAGAATGCATTAAGTCAGGATAATAGTGATGAAATATGTACACTTACCGAGTAAAAATATAACTCAACGGCAATTTATACAAAATAAATTATTTTACTTAAATCCCTTCAATTAAAAACCATTACGTACTTAATAAAGATCTAAAGTAGGTAAAAAATAAATAAAACTTTTTAAATCAAACTATTTATTTCATTTTTAATTCCCATATCTTAATTCATTAATATTACAACAGGAACCTTAGAAAACCTGTTATTCAATTCACATTTGCTTTTATTTCTTTTGTGTTACAATTTTAATTTAAATTCTTGCACTATGTACCTTATACTTTATACATCTCTTCTTCATGCTGTTTTATAAGTAACTCTCTAGCTAAACCTTTTTAAAACACCTCCTTCGAATACCAGTTAGTTCAACTTTTTTACTGTTAAAAGGTTTATTAATATCAACTTTATTTATACAATATTTTTCCTTTATTTTTTCCTGTTTTTTTTTGAAGTTCCATCACTGTGAGTTCTTAAAAATAAAAGTAATATGACAAAATTGTTTTATATTTATTTTTTTTTATTAAAAAATTTGTACATATTATGTGTTAATGTAACAATTATTATAGGTGCTCTTAATTTGTTATTAATCAAGCCAAGACAAAAGTATCTAAAATCATCTATATATATAAAATGCTAATGTTTATCTGTGTCGTCTCTACTGAAGTAACGACTTGCTCTAGAAAGTTGCTTTTTACTAAAAGATAGCTAATTGGCTCTTTTAAAAACTGTCGTCGCCGGATTTTTTGTTTTTCATTTAATTAAAAAAAATAAGTATTTTTTTTCCTGATGTCGCTGTCGTGGCGGATGCGCCAGGCTTCAACTAGTACACCAATAAATGAGGGGATAAAACCGCAGTACTGGTCTTTGGGGTTATATACTTATTCTCAATCTTGCTTTTCTAAAGAAAAATAATATAAGTACATTTATCTATTTTATAAAATAAAAACTCACCTTAATTACTATCATTGATGCTATCCTACCTATTTCTTTATTATGAGAAGCCCTACAACAATATATATTTGTTATTACTAACAGCCTTATGCTATTTTTTACCAGATTGTGGTTTTAGGATTTATCTATAAATCTCGATCTGCTTGCACTTCACCAGTTTCTTCCATATTTTCTATTATCAATTTATTGTACAAAAATGTTAATATAATAAATATAACAGTAATATCATATAATTAAATTATAAATTAAGTACTTACACATACTTTTTTTCTTGTTTTAATTTCTTATAAATCGCATTCCATCAACAGATCTATTTCACAACTACTGTTGAAACTGATTCCCTTTTTCCATAAAGGTAAAATTAATTAACGTATACCATAATAGAACTGGTCAGAGTTGAACACAAAATATATTTTAGTTGAATTTTATTGTTTTTATTTTCATTTTGACGATCTTTTGACAACTGAATAATAACCTCACTTTTTAATCTAACGATTTGAAATTCCCAGTTTTTGTCTCTGTCTGTTGGCGTAGACTTTTCATATATAACCATCTCAATTTCAGATATCTTATATTGGCAACACTTTCTCTACGGAGTGTCTAACGGTCCGTAGGCGGCCCATCCTCCAAATGGTCCTCCAAATCTTTTGGATTATTTTGTATGAAAATACCCAAATGTTATATCCTATAGATAGCAGGCTCTAGATTGTTTATCTTTTAGATAGTTATTTGTTAGATAAAAGCTATTTATCTATAACTGAAAACACCGAGCCTTAGAGATAGGTATAGGTTAGTATAACAGAAAAATTATGAGATATGAAAGTAGTTTCCAAAAAATGTAATAATATACTAGGTGTTCCATATAAGAGGCTACCACTTTTCGAATGATACGGCAACACTGTAATGCTGAAAATATTTTAGAAAGATGGAGCAAGTGCTCTTATGTAAAACCTATTTTATTTTTTTTATTTTCTCTAAAACGGTATGGAAATTTGGAAAA